AAGGTTGGAGACAGTAGACTTCCTTGAGGTAACCCAATGTTAGTCGAAAGGGGGGTGGATTTTACACCATTTGCATATACGATTTGTTGGCGATTGCAAAGATATGATTTGATCCAGCATATTGCTGGACCCCGTATTCCAATTTTCTCTAGCTTGAAGAACAATATTTCATGTTGAACCAAGTCAAACGCACGACTAAAGTCAAAAAATAAACCTACAGTATCTTCCTTTTTTATCTAATGATTCTAGTGTGAATTTCACGCTTTCATAGATTGCCGTTTCTGTGCTTTTCTTCTTCAAAAAACCGTGTTGAAATGGGGTCAGGATTTTATTTTTGTCTAGAAAATTATTTAGTTGCAATAAAAACACTTTTTCGAATATTTTGGAAAATTGATTTTGCACTGCTATGGCTCTATACTGCGATAAATCAGCACTTGATCCTTTATTCTTGAATGCGGGCGTTATTTTTGATTTCTTCAATATTTTTGGAAATTCACCATACTCCAGGGATCTATTTATCAAATATAACAGAGGTTTTTTTATTTCATCAAAGCATTTTTTGATAATGAATCCGGGTACTCCATCACTTCCTTCAGACTTTACTGCCTTAAGAGACATTACTATATTTTTTAATTCAGTTTCGGAAACTGGACGTAGAAATATACTATTTGGTATGTAATTGCTGTTATATTGCGTTTCTCCCGTGAAATTCATGGTATCAACGTCGCAGAAGAATGAATTGAAAAGATTTGCAATTTCAGTAGGGTCCCTAATTGTCTCACCCTGTATATTGTTTATTTCCGAAATAACATTTGTTTTCCCAGTATTCTCGCGATGACTATTTATCACTTGCCATGCAGCTCGTGTCTTATTTTCAGCGTTTTTAATAAAGTTTTCGGTCTGATATTTTTTTGTTTCATTCAAAAGTCTGTGATAAGATCGTTTAGCATCTAAATAATACAGGTGGAAATCTGGACAATTCAACAATTTATCATAAGAGTAAAGTTCTTTCATATGATTAGAGAGGTATCTGATATTATCTGTTACCCAATTTTTTCCTACAGTCTGTTTATTCGTATGTTTTTTGGTTTTCAAAATAAAACTGATATCGAACAAATATAAAAACACGTTGTAAAAAGCCTGAAATGAATCATTGAAACCGTTCGATATATCATACACACTATCCCATGATTCTCTTTCAAGTAAAGAGATGAATGTTGCCAGATTTTGTTCACTAAAGTCTCTAAATTGGAGTCTGGCGTTATTTTCTTTCACCGGGTTCCTTTCTATGTTGAAATGATATAATTGATACGTGTGATCAGATAAATGTGTGTCTATCACTTCCGTTTCACCATTTTCAATATCAGTAATGATATTGTCTATTGCAGTTGCAGATGTGGAGGAGATTCTGGTTGGGCAATTTATGAGCGAGTGTAAATTGAAATTTGATAAAACACTCACAAAACTGTTCTTGGTGATACCATCTTTCATGACATCGATGTTAAAATCCCCACATAATATGATGTTTCTTCTCCTCTTGGATAACTGACCTTCAACTAGTTCACTCAACAAATCACTGAGGTTATTGAGAAACTCTTGGAGATTAATTGGATCAGGTGATCTGTAGGCTGCTAATATACGAATATCCGCATTTGGGGTGCTCCATTCGACGCAGGCAAATTCTGATATCGAGTCTCTTGAGAATGTTTTGACTTCTATTTTTTTCACATCTTTTGAAATATCCTCTTTGACAAATATACATATTCCTCCCATGTGCATTTTATCACGACAGTGCCACGCAGTTAGCTTGTAACCGCGCAGAATGGTTGTTGGTATATCGTCAATTTTTATAGCTGCTTCAGTCAAAATCAGAACGTCCGGGGATATTTCGTCCAATATGACTTCTAGTGCTTCGATTTTATTCAATAGACTTCTTATATTGAGGTGCATTATCTTCGCTTTACCAGTATTTCCCAAATTTAAGCTGGTCGGTCCCCCACTCTTCTTCTCAACTCTAAAAAACGCTGGACACAGGCGCCTTCCGGCCACTTTGAGGGCTCCATGGCACTATTAAAGTGATCTTCATATATTGTCACCTTGAAAGACGAGTACATATCTGGATATTTTGACGAAATGGATGTACAGGTAACTTCTGGAAAATGCTCCTTCAGTAGCTCAGCCAGGTTTTCTGCTGTCATGGAGGTTTCCACCCTATATACATGGAGTGAGACCAACTTCGGAACACCTTTCACCACCCTTCCATTTAATTCCATCCTACTGTTACTTCCAACGACTTTATCATTTTTTCTTCTGTTGGTCTTGTGGATAACTCTTTTCAAACCATCATCTGGTGCATTATTTGGTTCATTTGGATTGGCGATATTAATATATTTTTCACATATAGCACGTCCTTCTGCCTCGTGGACTGCATTTGACATTGTTTTTGGATCAATCCCTTTAACGGTTATATTTGTACTGTCTTGAGGATTTTGTAGTACTTTAGAACCACCTGGAATTTCGAATTTGTGTTCCGTCTTCGAAGTGTTTCTATTTAATCTAGGATTTGCTGCAGTTTTCTGCGACACGGCATCATCGCCTCTTCGACAATCGGAGATTCTTGCTGTACTTTGGTTTTTCATCAATTCAATGATTGTTTCCAGGTTCTTTATTGATCTTTCTAACTCATAATTTACTCTTTGAGAACATTCTAGTTCAGTTTTTGTACATTTCAACTCACTTTTCAGTAATATTTGGCTTGTATGGTCCCCAGTTTTATTCACTGTCAAATCACTGTTTGAGTCGTAAAAACAGTCACTTTCACTTTCAATTAAGTTTTTCACATTATCACTAAGTCTGTAGTCATTTGGTACTCTTCTAGTCAGAATAATTTCGATTAAATCGCTTTTTTTAAGCTTGTCTAACTCTTTCACGACCGCTTCGCGTGTCGCCATTTTTAACCTTTTAATATTCTCCGAGAATGCGAATTCTCAATATATTTCTTTATATACAAGGTGTTTTTGAAATGAGTACAGATATTCGTATATATACGTGTACGTATATGCACATAATAGGTTGTGATATAAAAGTACTGTAGCTATTCAAATAGTTTTCATTTGGGAATTTTGTACAACAGCACAATGTGGCATGTTTAAATCAATAAATAGCCCAAGAAACACCTACTGCTCATGCTGCCAACTTCGTTCTCTTCGGAAATGACGAAAATTTCGGGCTTGTTGAGCAATATACTATTCCAATCTCTGTTATAGTAAAATAAAAACAAAAAGCTCAAAGTCCTATCCACACAATGTTCATAAAATGAACAACAATGGTAGATTTCGGAAGAAAAACAACTACTTTCCTGGCTAATGCCACGCAGAACATTGAATTACATCCTCCCGAAATCTATGCATCGACTCGTATGAACGAATACTGATACAAGTGATTCTTTCCTGAATGCCTATTGATTTCGATTTAGCCAGGCCACGCTAGACACCTACAGACCGGTTTCGAGCTCTTTGACTCTCATCAGTGCAGGGCAGTCTCCAGCCAGCAGTCCTAAGACCGCCGACTAAGCGTAGTGACGAAGAAGATCAGTGATCTGACAATGGCTATATGTCAAATCAGATAATTTTAGTGAAATATCTAAGTAAATATCCTATTGAGTTCGCCATACAACGCAGCAAAACAAGCATGATGAATTAATTATATTACCAGAATACTCAGGAAAGTGGTGAAAAATTGAATTATCCAACGATTATATCATTCACACATCATTGAAGTCCCATGATATGTAATATGAACGGTTATTTAGGTAAGCAAAGGAATATCAGCTTATATTCTGTTTGACAGTTCTTCGACGTAAATGATATTGTCATCTTCTGCGATATAAGAAACTATCAGAATGGTGTGCCTTGATAGTACGCTGTTCCTTCCGTGTTCCTGTCGTGCCGATAAGACCACGTGGTCACAGCAACCACTAATCAAAGGCTGTGTCGAGTCAGTCGTTCAACCACAGTGGTGATACCACAATGGTCAATGTTTGACTCGACTCCCATCAAAAGTTAACGTGGTTAATATGTGGTTTGAAACGTGACCGATATTTTAAAAGAGCCCTCCTCCTCCGTGCTCGGACTCTTCCGCCAAAATATGAAAATAAACTTGCAATATTTAGATAACAGGCTTTCTTGCAAAAGTATCGGTAATGTTCATGCCCTCGTGCAATTATAATCGATAATAATCGTCTATTTGTCATGATCTTGGGATATAACTGTTGAATATCTTTGAAAAATATTGGTTGAGGCACTATTTAGTGTCCAGGATCGGGTTCTACACCTTTTCCAGTTGTATCTCCGAATAGCCACTTGTATTTCAGAAAGCAACAATTGTATTTCAGAATAGTCAATTGAATTTTAGAAAGTGTCATTTGTATTTCAGAAAATATCATTTGAGATATACAATGGACGCTTTCTGAAATTCAATTGACAATTCTGAAATACAATTGATACTTTCTGAAATACAATTGATACTTTCTGAAATTCAATTAGTTATTCTGAAATACAATTGACGCTTTCTAAAATTGAATTGACTATTCAGAAATACAAAACTGGCGCCTCCTGAAATCCAATTGACTATTCTGAAATACAATTGATACTTTCAGAAATACAAGCGACTATTCTGAAATACAATTGAAACATTCTGAAATTGAATTGACGCTTTTTCAAATATTACTGGAAAAGGTGTAGTACGTCCCAAAAATCTGAGTAGAGATAAAAATTCTCGAAAAAATTTACTTCATCTAACACCAAATTTGCGATTGTCGAAACTCTCAACAAAAACCTCGCAGCCTCGGCTCGATAACAACGATAAAAAGAGGTCCCCGACATTTCCTAGGTATAAAAATCAGTTTCGTACGTTTGAGTCCCTCCCTCTTCAGCCAAAAGACGCCGCGGGTACCGACGCATGTAGGGCTCCCACTCGGCCTTCTTCGTTCGTCAGTGGGTCACAATAACGTCGGGCGCCGATTTCGTCGTCTGGACGCTGTACGGCCTCCTCTTGCCGTCTTCGTACTCGTTGGGCGCCACACTGAAAAAAATGTTCAGTTGAATAAGCCAGTGGACTAATTTTGATTTTATTTATTAAATATTTAGAATAATCACTCAAATAGCTTATAATTTCATATTTTTTTAGAATTTTTCGGTCGATTTGAAGGTGCCGGAATCATCAATACTGCTATGGTAATTTTTAAACGGCTAGAAATTTACCGCCAGAAAAAGAATTATGTCACGGTTTAGTAAGTAGGAGCAGTCCATAGCACAGTTGCCATGTTGAAATACGATTTGTAATTTCAGGAATTATAGTTATTTAATAATCCAAAAATTCTTAATTATGTATTCCTAATTGGCATTAGAAAATCTTTTGTCTCAAAATGTTCCCTCATGTGTTGTGGCTCATTGCTTCTAATGCATTTGTGTAAAATATAATTATATATATATATATAGTTCACGCATGAGGACTTGTCAGTTTATAGCATTCAGCACAATGATGCCAAAACTCCAACATTTACATGTTATTTTGTTATGGAGTATAATGAATATTTGGATATGCTGGTTGCTCAAAGAAACCACAAATCAACTATAATATCATGGGTTCCTCCTATTATGTTTTATTCAACTACAGTACTCTAACATCTTTTCGATCTGATTATAATTAGTGATTTGGCAACCTTGCTTCATGAGTGGGAATGAGAGATTATCTGACTAATAACAAAACAGCATAGAAATTGACGTCACCACATCGCCAAATGGCGGCTATGACGATACGTTTGAAATGAGCTCTGAAATTCAACGATTCCGAACAACGCATGGACTCATTATTTACATGAAAAAACGTGAACAGTGTCACGAGAATTATTTCAGGTCCCTAACGACACAGTCATAGATTCCCCACAGTGGATTAATTGAATACCAATAATTCATTATTAGTCCACTCGCCCATCCTGAGATAATTTCTCGGTCCTACTTTGTGTTGTGTGGTATATAAGGGCGGCGGGTAGCCAACTTGCCAAGGGGAGAGAGAGAGAAGTTGTTGTTCGATGGTGCGGTTGGGCCTCAGATGGTTGGGCAGAGCAAATATCATACACACTCTAGATATACACCGTAAGTGTAGGAATGGCCAACGCTCAGTTGGGACGTACTGCTCTTGGCACGGATTCGTGCCAGCTAGAGTTCTCAGGAAATATTGCTCATGGCACGGATCGGTGACGCAAGTATGTACAGGGTGATTATAGAAAAGGAATATTCTCAGATGAATTATGAACATAAAAAATGGATATACAGTGTGGTCATTTAAGTGTGCAACATATGGAAACATTTTTAATGAATTGCAAAACCAAAATACAGGTAGTGCCGAAAGTTTTTGCATGCTCGGTAATCATTTTAGGTGCACTTAGAATGGATGCAAGTCAAACAGCATACAGGGTAGGACAAATTTTTGTGATAGGCCAATATTTCTCCCTGTAGATCTGAAAACTCGAACTTCATGGGAAGACTACGCAAACCATATCATTCCCAAACGATTCTTGCACAACATGGAACAAACCGTTCCAGAATTGGACTACTATTTTTTAACATATTCGATTTTTAAATTGGGTAAAATAGTCAGGTGGACCACTTCATTTGTCACGCAGTTCATTTTACTAAGCAAAACAACTAAACAAGAAAATTAACAATGAGAATGTTCATGTCATCCTCATCATATTCTATGAATATTCTTTGGAATATTCTGAGGGAGGTATGTTCGGAACGTTGTGGGAACATTTGTTGGATATTCTGTGCTGTCTGGGATAGGGCGCACCCAGTACAGGCCTGAAGCAAAGTTTACAGAATTAAAAATATAAGTTTCCCTACTCCAGTCGGAACGTTTGTTATTTGAAGGTACCATGCATGAGATACTGACGACTGACGATTTTTTAAAGCGGGTACCGGGGTCACACAGAAGCAATTAAATTCAACCAGCCCACTAGAGGGGGTTGTCCTAAAATGTGTAACTCCGATAATTACGATCGGATTATGAATGGAATAACTACTAGTTATTTGAATGAATATACAAAATGTATGGAGGAATTCGAATCAAATATTTACGTGTATGATGCATTTTTAGTTGTTATCCAATTCATATCATATTTGAAGCTCAACATTATTGTATAGTAAAATATATACTTTTTGGGTTTGTAAAATTGTTTCCGTAAGTACGATGTGTAGGTATATTTTGTATTACAATCGCATCGATGGCCATTTGTTTCTTTAATGAGAGACAGAAAGCTGCTTGATAAAATTTTATTACATAATATTTGCACTATCGAACCATAAACCATAATACCATACTGAAATGAACATTACAAATGTTGAAGAATAGAAATCTTGGCTTTTACTCTGTTTGTTTTACAAGTTTCAATATCTCGATTCGCAAATTTCAAACTGTAGTAAATACGAACTCTGATTTATAAAGATATGAAATAATCCAATGAAAAATATATACAGGGATGATTTAGAGTTATATCTGGAAAATATGATTTTAGGCTTTTTCCAACGTTTTCGAGACAAGCGAATTCTGCACACTTCTCAATGAATATATTTTTCAAAGCACCAACACATTCAGTGATTTGCACTTGCTATAATTTTTCTACTGGCAAAATATGGTTTCTTCTGCAAGAATGTAGTAGTAAACATTTCTTCAAAAAATACCCGGTAACATACACCAAAGCATTACCTCCTGGGGTCTTGAGATTTCTATAATCATTTGCCAATACTTCAATCGATGTATATATGTAGGCCTACTAACTGCTGATGTTCGATTACATTGTTCAAGAAAATCGGGAGTTATATTATATATACAGTAAAACTTCACCAATATCTCTCATACAATTTGCACCCTCTGTTTGATCAAAATATCGCAAACCAAACATTTTTTTGAAAGCGCGGCAAAATTGTATGGGTGCGTTGGATTTTCAACATGACCACAATAATTTCTTATTTTGACAAAGAAGTTTTCCTAGGCGATCTTGACTCAAATTCCCAGTGTACATGTATCATCCCTTGGCCTGTAAGCTCGACACTCTCCCAATCCACCTAGTACAATATAGCAGGCAACCTTTCGCATCAAAAGAGAAAGCCACTATGTGACCGTTAGAGGCCCTAGCCCAGTGAGCATGTTTTGAAAATGTTGGCATGAAGATGTTATTTTGAGACGTAATATGCACTGACCAAAGGGGTTTTTGAAGGATATTGAAGTATTGTTTTTGTTCTTCTGTGGCATTTCTTTGTTTGCCTACTGAGAGGTATCCCTGGGATGTTTTGGGATGTTTTAGGAATGTAGGCATGAGGATGTTTTTTGAGGCGTAATATGCACTTCCCAAAGATGTCTTAGAAGGATATTGAAAGTATTGTTTTTGTTCTTTTGTGCCCTTTCTTTGTTTGCCCCACCACAACGTCTCATGCTTACGTCACAATACGATGAATTCTGATTTGTTTTCGATTTTGTTCTTCTTGTTCGCAATTGGCATTCGCGTTTGCAGCGTGTCACGCTAACATCACGCTGCTAACGAACAGAAAGGAATTTGGTGAAGTTTATTATGTTAGAAGTCTTATTTAGTTTGTAATAATGACCATCAGATGCAAGATGTGTTGTTCGGTGCCTCAGTGTAATCAATATATAAAAGTACGAATTTATCAATACACAGCTTCTCCGCAGTTGCAAAATTATGCATTGTGGAGAACATTTCAAAAATTGGGAAACCTATTTCCAATTATATGTCTGTGTGCAGTGAGCACTACTCAGAAACCGATTAAGAACGTAATCTCATATCAAGAAAATATTTTTATGTTCAATCTATTTTTAATGCATTTTTTTCATTCAAGGGAAATGGAATCCTAATGCAAAAGTTCATTTTGACAAAAGGCTTCAGAAAAGTACCTCGAAAATGGTTTTTTTACAGCGATTTAATGTGCGCAAGACGCGTTGAAAATATTTTGTTGTGTCCATGAAAAGGCTTTAAAAAGAACTAGGCAGAAGGTAGTTTCGTGACATATCAAGGACATCTCGATAATTGCCGCCTGCGGCGGACATTTGCTGTTCTATAATAGTTCTGTTCATGTGTGAACAGAACATCGCAGTGGAGGTTCAATGTCTCGAAATCTCGTACTTTTAATATCTCTGAGATGTTTTTGTGCTCGCTGGGAAGGTACCTCGACGGAACGAGAGGTAGGGGGTAGGCAAATCGGCACATTTAGCGGACTGCCGTAGCCTATTATTTTAAATTCTGTAAAGTTTGACTGAAGCTATACTCAAGTAATCTCACCTGAACTTCTTCGTGTGCATCTCGATCTTGGCCTCCGCCCTGAACTTGCCCTCTGGCTTCTTGTACCCGAAGGTGCTGAAGGGGGCGGGTGGCGAGTGGGCGTGGGCGCTGCGGCGGCTGGGCGTGCTGTTGCCCGAGCTGTAGCCCTGCGTCGTGAAGAGGCTCTCGCGCGTCTGGCACGCGCTGTCGCACATCAGGGGCGGGCAGTCGTCGTCCACCTGGAACACGAAATTGTCCTTCTGAATGGAAACCTAGGTAGTCAGCGAGGTATGTTTACTAACCCAAAATATTGTTACGTTATTCGGGTGCAGAAGCGAACACGACACTATTTATTTTCGGACTGATTTATTTGAACTAAAGGAACACTAATTTATATCGAACTTATAACTACTATTTATGTAAAACGATTTCTATCACGCGGTATTTGATTATCTCTCTGACACTCGCTGCTCGACTGACTGACGGCAGTTGTCCGGCCGTCCATATAATTTATGGGATCCCTTGGTCGACTTTGCTTCTCGAACTTTCTCGAATGATCTTCCGTACCCTTCTTTCTTAGAACAATAAACATCTCTCTCTAATTGTTCCATCGATTGTTTCCAGAACATTCCAGAATCTTCTGTCACGTTATTGGTCACCGCGAAATATATTGAGTGTTCGGAAATAGGCTGGTACATGTATGAATCATTGGGATATTGGAGAACAATCTGGGATGAGTGTTACAGGATGATCGTTGTACTCCTGATGCCTTCCTGCTGATGTTTCTAGAGCCCCTCTAAGGGGAATATCATTACAATATGTGTGCCAACCAAAGGAGCTGGTTTACTGATGAAGGTTAATATCCCATTATTCCATATATTTTGGAATTTTCTCTCCTCGTTTCTATTAAATAAAAATATGGATATTATTTCGAAATACGTGTAGTAAGGACAAATTATATATTTTGCCCCAAAAAGTCACTGCGTTAAAGAATTTTCCTATAAGAAAGAAAATTTCACTAGCTAGTTAGTGACAATTTGTATTGAGGAAGGTTTAGACAAGAGAAATGAAGGAATATAGAAAAAATATTAAATTTTCACTTAGCTTTGGACGTTTCGGGCACGTATGTGCTCCCGTTTTCAACATGAAGAATAGATATTTGAATAGCAAATTCGTATTTCTCTTGATACTTTTCAGTACTCAGTGAATTTTTCTTTTGGGCTCTCTGATAGGAACATTCTTTAAACGCAGTGATATTTTGAGGCAAACCATCTGATATGTTCTTACTACACGTATATTGAAACGAGGAGAGAAAGTCCCTAAAAATCTGGAATAATGAATGTACCACCTCATCTATTAACCTACAGACAGTATTTGTTAATATCTCATTTGAATAACTACAAAAACTCAAAGTCATTGCCACAAATGTACAGTGTGTCCAGTTTTCCAGGCTTTTGCGTGATATCTCAGTTATCTTTTTGCGGTTTTCGCGGTCCTGTACCACTTTTTTGTGAAACTCAAGATGGCCTAATCAGATTTTGCATAACTGTTTCCGTCTATAAGATACATGGCAGTTTTGAAAATTTATACTCTTTGTACCCCCTCCATATCTACGAAGTTTCTCAGCGAAAATTTCATATTGAACTCTTATCTCATGAAGAATATCACACAAAATCCAGTGGCGCTCTCGAAAATATTTTTTGGGTATGGATTTGGGGATATGACTCAAACTTATGATTTTTTGAATGGAATACCTTGTACTTTATAAGCTCATTCAATCCCTTATACTTCTTCCTTCAGAATAAAATGTAATGTATATACAACTAAAAACGGCTGTCGGCCTTATCTCAGCAACGAATAATGATACAAGTTGGAAAGCGACTCCATCATGAGAATGCCAACGGATGGCAAAATAAAGTTTTGAAAAAACTTTCAAAATAGGTATAACGGACAGAGAGGCATGGAAGGAAGGACCTCCTATCAATGCAGACATTGCTGTCTATACGGCCGGCTCCAAAACTGAGGAAGGATCAGGAGCTGGTATTTATGGGGCCAAGCCAAAGACGAGAGTCTCACTAAGCTTAGGTGTGAAAGAATTGATAAGGCAAGAGTTCAAAGGCAAAACCATTGCAATCTATTCAGATAGCCAGGCGGCCATCAAAGCTGTCAACTCTATGGGTTGCGTGCAAGAACTGTCAGATGACCGACACTGGAGGCAAAACATTGAAACACAACGTCACTTTTCTTATTTGTTTACAAGTGATCGAAATAGTTTTCCACAATTATTTTGGCATATGAATCGTATTTTTCCGCTATTCATCAATTCGCTCATGCCATCACATTGTGCTGTTGTAAAATGCACAAAAACTGCAGCAGAAGATGAAGGAATCCGGATGGTACATTATGATTTAAAAGTAAGTACCTACTATAGTCACTCACATATAGTTTTCATTTTTGAAATTTGATTATTTCTCTGATTTCTCATCGGAATTCCTTCTGCAATAAGAGCTAATAGAAATATACCTGAAATTTCTAGAATAATGCAAGAAGATTGGTTTCATGCAATCAATCGGGAGAACTGGTCTGACATGCTGACGATCGTGTGTGTTGTAGACATTTTCAATCTATTAGCAGTATTAGCTTGTATTGCATCAGAAGTGGCAGAAGGCAGAAGGAATTTTAATAAGGAATGACAACATTTCATAATGATAACTATGTGAGATTACTATTTACCTGAAAAATCATATTCCCTAGTCTCTTGCTGTATTTTTTGTGCATTGTACAACAGCACAATGCGAAGGCATGCTTGAATTAATGAATAACGCAAGAAACACGATTCGTATGCCAAAATATTGTGAAAAACTATTTCAATCCTTTGATTCCTCTGTAACCAAATAAAAAAGTGAGGTTGTGTTTCAATAATTCACAGAAGTATGAGGTTGTGTTTCATTATTTTGCCTCCAGGGTCGGTCATCGTGCACGCGACCTATGCAAGTTTACTCGAAACTAGTATGGGACTGCATAGAAACCCTAAATGAACTGGGCAGTCAGAACAGACTGATTCTAGCATGGGTACCAGCACATACAGGGTACGAGGGCAATTAAGAGGCAGACTCACTTGCCCGAGAAGGGGCAAACAAAGCTCTGAAAGGCCCAGAACCCTTCTGTGGTATTGCGAAAGCTATACAAAATACTAGTATAAGACAGGAATGAGACAGGGAAAAGAATTTATTAAGAAAACCATCGCCAACATTCACAGAATATCTACTGAGTCAGAAACGAAGTTCAACTAGAATACTAGTGAGAGTTCTCACAGGGCATTGTAGGCTCAACAAACACATGAGTACGATAGGTCTGACTGATGAAGAACTGCTGTGCAGGTTCTGCCAGGAAGAGGAGGAAACAGCAGTACACATACTTTGCCACTGCGAGGGCTTGTCAAGACTATAAGGTTCCTTACGCTGGGTGATGAAAAACCAGGAGCCCAAAGATACACAGGGGATCTGGAAGCTAGCCTATGGAGTCTCATAGAGACGACGGGGCTAGCCGAAGAACTGTAATCGATTTTGAGGGCAGACACAATAGATCTGAAAAGGTCGCGGTGTGGAGGCAGATAGCCGCAAGGCCCCTTTCTAATCTTTGATTGAGAATCCAAACACTCACCGTATAAATATCTGTGTTATACGCGTCTCCGTCGGCAGGACTCGTCCCCCGTTCGCTCCTCACGAGGATGGGCAGCAGGTCGCCGCCCGGCACGTAGCACGGCGCCGTAGAGTGGGCGGCAATGCGGCCGCCCTCCGAATCGAGCGAGGGGGAGGGGGAGTCGCGCGGCCTCGAAGAACGGCCACCCGGTCTGGCGGGCGGCTCGCTCTTCTGGTGCGACGGGGCGTGCTTCTCCAGCTCGTTCAGCTGATGCTCGCGGCTCTGCCGGATGTACTCCTGGAATGGAAGATAGAGATGGATATATTGAGTCCGTAGATTAGTTATTCATGTATCAAGGGCGTGAAATGGGATTTTATGTGCCCCAGGGAAACTGCTTCTTAGATGTTATGAACACTTCATTAGGCACTGGCACTTTTCCAAGTGCTTGGAAACTATCAACAGTCATACCAATTCAAAAAGTGATCAATACTTCTCCCAGTTGTGAATTCAGAACCATAAATCCCCTCCCAAGTTATGAAAACATGTTAGAACTGGTCGTTAAAGATCAGCTGCTGAAATTTCTTGGAGATAATATAATCATCAAAGAACAATCTGGCTTTCGACAATCTCACTCCTGTGAGACTTCCCTGCAATTTTTAATATCCCAATGGAAAACAAATATTAGCAAAAGAGGGTGATAGGAGTCGTATTTTTGAATTTCAAGCGTGCTTTTGAAACTATCAACATAGATTTATTGTTGTTAAAACTCAATAGATATGGAATTACAGGCAATGTATTGAATTGGTTCGAAAGTTATTTACGACATAAAACACAAATAGTTGACTATTTACAAATCTACAATAGCACCTCACTTCGATCATTGTGGAACACTTTCATTTTTTCTTAATAATGACCAGTTGGATGTAATTCAAAAAACCATGAGAGATATACTCATGTGTAACAAACGTACTCCAATAAAAAATATATTGGACACATTATCATTAACGTCTGTGAAACAAAGAATTCATTACAATATGTTGGTCTTTGTGTTCAAAATGGAAAACAGTTTGTTACCAGGTAGGTACCTCAGTGACGAATTAAAGAACGTTTCAAAATGAAAATATAATCACGACTAGTAGACTACTGGATTTATCATTTTTATAACAACATTGTAGAGCCCCTATGATTTGAGGGATTCAAAAAAACTGAATTTTTCATCAATCTCATTCTCGATTCCTTCAAATAGGTTATAAGTTTATTGATTGACTACCATGCCAAACATTTTGTTTCGGAATAGCTCTCAATTTGAAAAAATATGATGTGCATATTATACCCATTCACCGAATTGTTTATTTTTTGGTTTATGTTCGGCGGCCCGGTGCTGAGTTCGTATGGGGACTCCCACCGAGGCATGGGTTCGAATCCCAGTTAGGCCATAGATGTTTGTAAATGTATGCTTTCCTAACCCCGCACAAGTTTCGACCTATGGGGCGTTGGATCCAGTGCTGGGTTCAACGAGGAAATGCAATTGAAAAAAAAAATAAAAAAAAAATGTTCTCTTTCCTCAGAATATTATCTCAGAAATACCAATACCTTCATTTCTTGAATTCGTTTAATCATTTCGATCATTATTGAGGTTTATAAACGATACGATGATTTCAATATTGTTGGTAACATCTGAGATACTCATGTACTGATTTACTGTCTCATCACGTTAATCATTTTTAGCTGTTGTTGATTCAATTTTCGTGAGTGATTTGATCATATCGACATATCGTAGTTTCAGTGGCTAAAAGAAAAGTAGCTCTACCTGTCCATCGAGAAGGATTCAGCCTTTTTAGTTTTATTATAGATGTCCAAATACAAATCACCAATGATAATTAAGAAGGTTGAAATTTCCTTCACCCCTGAAAGTGGTTCCAGGTTCATATTATGGGCTGTGCAATGTATAAGAATAAACTGCAGAAAGTTCAATATCCTCTTATTTTCTTTTGTACTCCCTTATAAATCACACTTGCCTTTTGCCCCGTCATACCCTTGTCCTCTCTATATACTGGTTAATTCTCAATCCTAATGTTTTCAAAGATTTTAATATTTCAGATGTTAATGTTGATAAGTTTTCATGTAGGACGGCAGTGTCAGCACCGGCACTTAACATAAATATTTTGAAAATTCCATGATTAACTTTTTGTACAGTTGAATCATTTCACAATTATTGGAGTTTTTGAGATAGTTGTTCGAAGAATTGATTAGTAGTTACGCCTACGCCACTGACTGACACTTGCAATCTTTGTTATCTTATTTTTTTCACACGATTCTGACAATTGCAAGTTCTCTGGTAAAGCTTTTCATTTGAGTAACTTCCCTATTAACATTTTCATTATGAAAAATATACGTCATTCCCCTCTAAACCGTCATAAAAAGCTGTTCTTTCGCGTGACAATATAAAATGTATCTCGAATCAAGATTACCCGAGGCGCGTATATAGCGCAGTCGAAACATAATTAGCGTGTCAGAAAGTCTCTAAAGAGCAATGACCATCCCTAATCACCAAAAAAAACATCAACGAAATGTATTGCGGAAAGAGTGGTATTGAAATGAAATATTAAAAATGATGCAATGTCGGAAATAATCATCTCACTGTGTATTTTTGAGATCAGCGGAGTGTTCCACAGAAGAATAAAATGTAAAATGTATTTTTCTGATGAAAGACGATGCATTTGTATGTGTCTAAAAATGAAGTAATGAAAGGGATAAAAAGAGTAGAGAGAAATAAAAACAAATCAGTAGCGTTCCGAGAAAGCGCCCGTTAAATTTCCCATAGTTATTAATCAAAATTAAGCCCTGCAATAACCAACTCAAGGAGAATCATTCTAAATGCCATTTTGCACGGTTGAATATGCAACAGCCATTAATTTTTATTAAACTGAACACGGGCCTGAAAAAGAAATTGCTGATGAAAGAAAAGGTTTCATTGTTTCTTAATCGCTATACAATTTTATTAACGTCAGATCCGAGATTCGAGTTAAATGTTGCTCGCACCGTTGGGCTAAAATGAAGGTGTGATCATAAACAGGGTCAAGCCATTTATTTTCATTTGGAATTTCAAAAATGTGTATCCGCTGTTAACGAAAATTCCATAATTCATGGCCGATCCCACATGCACGTATGGGTGAATGTTGGTAACAAAAACAAAAATGAATCGATCCTGAAATATTACTTTCAGAATTTATTGGTGACGATGCTACGAGGTGGGCCATCTCATATTGTATTGTTGCTACGAACATTTTGAAAGTTTCGAATCTGTGGGAGAAAAGTTGTACTACTTATCTAATCTCCCTACACCAAGAGAAATATCTATTAGCTGTTATACGAGACTGTATAGCCTTCAAAAGATTTCTGAATTGAATAGGCGCCAGCATAGTTCCCTTTACACTGTTAAAATTATATAACTGTGAAACAACACTTATATGAGAATGAAATAACGCTCATATAGGGGTCAAATTATTAGCATTTCAATATTGAACAATGAAATGGGTTGACGATCTTCGAGAAAAATTGAAGACATATTTACTTAGATATACTTACCCACAAGTAGAGTTTTCTTATTGAAACTACAGGGAATTGAAGTGCATCACAAGGGCGAGAGACTCATTACACAATATCTGAATTTGCCTACGATGAAAATGCTTCCAATTTTGAGTATTTGTTCTTCTTGTCACTACCTTGGATTATTAGTTGACATAGTTGCCAAAAATTTACACGGTGGCGTCAGTAAATAAGGGTTCACGAATCACGAAACGAGAACGAAAAACCTTTATTTCGTCTGATGAATTTGTGGCTAGAATTTTTGTGAATTAAGAAGCAGCAAATAAAATTACACGAATCAAATAAATATATATACACCGTGTCCAAGATGAGCATAGGAAGACATCCTTCTCTTGGACATACTGTATAAGTAATACAATCTATCACCGATATAACTGTGTAAATCCAAGCTCTTGCCACTATGGTGAATAGTTAGGTAGTTTAAAAATACAGAATTTTATCCAAATTGTAAGAATTTTCGATACATTGCCGATTTATCGTGAAAACACTATAACGCCCTGATGCAGTTCAATTTCCTGTAGTTCCTCAACAACAACTTGGGGGGTATATAAACAAATATGCCCCTAAAATTTCTAGAAGAACTATCAACCACTTCACTTTTTCGAAAAAAAAAAATATCACCCTGTGAGAAGGGTTCACGAGCTGCTGCGGGCTAATATGTCCTTTCATATCAGGTATCCGTAGACGACTAACGATTCTGATGAAACAAGTTTTTATAAGTGAGTGAGATGACTCATTGTGGTAAACTAGTATAACAAAGATGGTAAATGAAGAAGAGATGAAACTCAAATAATACTTGTATAACTGTGAAATGACATCTTTTAGGATTTAAATGATTATCTTTTGAATTCTATGTTTTAACTATAATCTTGTTCAATTTCTCTTGTTCAAATCTATAAGGAATTCATTGCCTGAGGAAGTATTCCCAACAACATATAATCTCCAGGAGTTCAAAAAAAGTTCCAATACCTACCTCCTGTTCCTATCCTCCCTAGGAACGCACGATGTTCTTTGAACATTATAGGGATTTCCTTTCGTGCGCTCCAAGCGATGAAAAAAAAGAATGATTTGGAAAGTTGACCTGTTTCACGTTGGGAACGTTGACTTTTAACGTTCATCAGATGACGTTTCGTGGTTAAAATGCTTCATTTAGCAGTTATAGGATGGTTTTGTATAGGGACTTATAACTGGATTTTTCTCGGTGTATCCTCCCTAAGTACGCAGGAGTATCGTGGTGGGGCTGCTATATCCATACTAATATCTACACATCCTTCTAAAATTTTCTCAACTTTTCCGACCTTCTGATGGAGGTCAGAATATTCCTAAACTCCACCTCAATATCCTAGATACATCACAAATCCCAACACCTCTAACACAAAACTGTTTCGCCGGAAAACGCTTCTGCTCAGGCGCCACTTCATGTTTGTTGGACACAGTCATCTCTAAATGTGCATGCTCCATAGATTAAATCTTCTTGTATTTTATTCAACATAAGGACTTCGATTCTAAGCTCACACTCAACTTTGGCTAAACTCTCTTTGAAATTTCTGATGGAGGGTGATGTGCTCTTGTTACCCTATCTCATTCGAGAGGTTTTCTCTGTTTCTGAATACGGTGACATAAATGATGATACAGAATTTGTTTTGCAAAATACCTATAGGATCAATGAATTAACATCTCACTGTGCT